TTCTCTCCTTCTCTCCCTCCCTCCCTCCCTCTCTCCCTCTCGCCCTCTCTCCCTCTCTCCCTCTCTCCCTCTCTCCCGTCTGTCTCTTCAGTTCTGCCTCCGTCCTCCCACTTGCTTATCACTCACCCACGCTCATGCACCCGTGCACACACATCTATCCACTCGCTCACACACATACACACTCACTTACCCTTCTCCCTCACATGGCTAGCCTGTTTCTTGACGATGTCCTTGGTTGCAGTCGGTAACATTGCATACGAATCTTGGAGAGATTAAATGTGAAATCTTCTGTGATGAGGTGCCCAAGACAGCAGAGGTGAGGTTCCCTTTTCCCTTCCCCATGTGCAGGCGTTTTGAGAGCTTGATTCTGATGGTGAAATTCACACCGAAGTCCAGAAAATCCGCACTAATCTGTGAACTAAATGATACTCATGTAATCCGCTCTATATTGCACATGAAATGGGTGCACTCACTGCTCACTGCACTGCATACTAAAGGTCAGAAGAAGAACCGGTTGTATGTGATTTACTATTTATAGTATTTTTATACTCTTGCCGTTCTTGGTGCTTCTGTCAACAAACAATTCTGACTCAAAAAAGTTGTGGGAAAATGCCACATGGATGATGTGAATAGATCCGGAATTGTGATATATGTGCATCAGGTGTACACCTTGCGATCTGGAATTCTGTCTGAGACTCTCGAATACATTCTTTCTGCTTGATGCGGAGCCGCAGAAGTTTCTTTTTCTTTTCAGAAACTTTTAGGTCACGGAATAAGCACGAAGAATTGTTGAAGCTGCAGTAAACTTTTGCACTAGCCCCCCCCCCCCCCCCTTCCCCCTCCCCCGCTCTAGGAGGCTGACCCTTTCCATGACCAGCGAGTATACCGCTGCAGGCCTCAGGCGACTTCGGAGGCAATGGTGGTTTAAGGTAGTTGTGGAGGTTGTTGAAAGCGCGGGTATATTTTCAAATTTCAAAAGGAAACAGCGAAACAGAGCCAAAGAAAAAAAAGAAAAGAAGCTGGCAAAGAAAATGAAAGGCAAATAAGTTTTTTCTTAAAGAATCATTCATTATAGAAGAAGAAAATGGTAGCAAATCATCAAAAGGCAAAAGACACAAGATTAGTTGTAATTTCACTCATCTGAGTCCATCCCATCAACAATCGAACTTCGATCTGCATATCAACAGTTCATGTGTGTAAAAGAACCAAGATTAGTACTGGCCCTCGATTGGGAAAGAGGGGGTTGCAGGGGGTGCAGGGCGAAGGGGAGGAGAGGATATGAAGGGGCATACAGGGGTCCACAACAGGTGGAACATACGTCTTGGACAACTTTAGCAAGAAAGATTTTGCAGTCGTCTGGATGCCGTTGGGATCCCGATCCAGGACCTACTGGACTTCCAGCCCAGAAACATGTCTTCCTTAGTGTGTGTGTGTGTGTGCATGTGTTTTGTATATATATCGTCACAAACAGAACCGCCCGTATATATTTTGCCATTTTTTAATTTCCATGATTAAAAAAAAAAAAAATTTAACTCAAGTTTGTCGGAAGTTCCTGGTTGTGGATGGCAGATGTGTGGTATGGCGTCCCATCTAACGACCAATGCATGCCTGCACTGGCGAAAGCTAATCGCCACGGTTGATCAGCATGTGATTTCTTGCCCCCCGTTCCCCTCCCCCTCTTCCCCCCCCCCTCCTCTCCTCCCCCCCACAAAGCAAAACAACACAAAAAAAACATGTTCTTACCGCCTGTCCATCGTGGATGTCGCATTACTGAGGAGGCCCAAGGGTCAGGATTTTTTTTTTTTTTTCATTGTTTCGTTTTGTTATCCTGCGTTCTCCGGTGAAAAAGGAGAACCCTCGCCTGATGCTCCTGCTATTCCAGTGTGTAACAGATCGGAGGTTTTTCCGAACTGTTAATCCAGCGATCAGCACCTTGGAGAGGTTTATAGTAGTTCTGTCACTTCTGAGTGCTGTTCAAATGACGTCGAAGTAGTAAGTGTGGGTTTGTTTCTGATGTCCCTTTGCCCTTTTTGTTTTGCCACCTTCTGGCAGAACTTCTTGGCGTTGTGCGCAAGCGGATATTACGATGGAACAATATTTCACAGGTACGTACTATGTTGTCTGTTGTTAGAATGTGGTGGGAGGATATGGTTTTGTTCTGTCAAATTTGGTTTATTATTGTGTTCAAAGGGACGCTGGACACGTTTTCCAGCAGGTGATGCTCCCCACCAATAGATTGGAGCCTTTTTTCAACAAATAATAATAATAATAATAAAATATAAAAAATTGTCTGTTGTTACTAGTAACTTTCTACACTGTGAGGAATGATCACTTCCATCTGCTTTTCATATGACAAAGCAAGAGGACGAAGACCGGCAATAAAGTGAAATAGGAGGAGGAGGAGGAAGAGGAGGAGGAGGGGCAGGAGCCGGAATAACCAGCAGAAGGAAGACAAAGAGAAGAGGGCGAGAGAGTGGGTGGAGAAAACAACAGCAATAGTAGCAGCACAAAAGGGGCGGGGGGGGCATGGCAGGGCTGTAGAAACGGAAACAGCAGAAAAAGCAATTGGAGGAAAGAGAGAGAAGAGAGAGAGGGGAGAGAGAGAGGAGAGAGGGAGGGGAGAGAGAGAGGAGAGAGAGAGGGGAGCGAGAGAGCAGAGCGAGAGAGGGGAGAGAGAGCGGGGATAGAGGCAATTGTTGTCATTGCACCATTTTGCTCAATTCCATTTGCAGTCACTGCAGCAGACGGAGGGTAGCAGTTGCAGTGTGTTGCACTTAAAATACAAAAGTCGCCATCCCTCATGCCAGGGTTGTCACCCATGTCAGGGCTTGAGTTGACTCTTGCCCATGTGTCCCCCATGCCGGCAATTCGGCTGACTGTCACGCATGCCAGGGCTTCAGTTGGCTGGTCACCCATGCCAGGGCTTCATTTGACTGCCACACATGTGACACCTAGGCCAGGCCTTGAGTCGGCTGTCACCGATGCCAAGCGTTGAGTTGGCTGCAACCCATGCGAGGGCTTGAGTTCGCCGTCACGCATCTGTCACCCATGCCAGGGCTTAGCTGCCTGACACCCGTGCGAGGGCTAGATTTGGCTGTCAACCATGCCAGGGCTTGATCTGGCTGTCACCCATGCGTCACCCACGCCAGGGCTTGGCTGTCAAGCATGCCTGGGCTTCAGTTTTCTGTCACTCATGCCAGGATTTGAGTTCGCTGTCAATCGTCCCTCATGTGCCTGCCCCCCATGGCTGCATCCATACTGGCTCTCAGTCACAGTATCACTGAGATCACACCTCACGAGCTTCAACAACCACACTTTTTCGTTTTTATTCAATTTAATGCTATTTTAGTATTTTATATCACGTTGGCAACATTGGCAAGAGAGTAGAGGTGGGTCCATTTGAGTCAGTGTGAGCAGTTTGTGTCATGTTTCATATTTTTGTTGTTAGTGCGGGCATTGCCCGCACCGCCCACACCACGGGCGCTAAGCTAGTACATATAATATCTGAAGCAGTCAAATAAATATTAAATATATATTTGAAGGATTCAAATGAATAAATAAATAACTACTGTTTGAAGATATATACATGTAAATAGTTTGTCACAACCCCTCGATTGTTGTACACCTTCCCCCCTCTGGCTATGGTTTACCGGGCAGTTCTGTTTGACCGTATATGTGAAGAAGTCAAATAAAAAATCAGTACACAATGTTACACATGCAAAATTGCAAATTCACACTTCACTATGACAATTATATAGGCTACCAGCCTTGACTGCGCTAAAACAAACTAAAACGATACTCAAAACAGGCTCAAATTGACTCTTACAGTCCAGTGACAGACACAAAGAGACTTCAAACCGACTCAGAACACAATTGCATAGATTGAAACAGACCGACAAACTCAAAATTGAATATTGGGGATAGATGATAGATGGATACATATATATATATATATATATAGATTCTGCAGACTGTTGAGGGTTCAGCCTCCTGATAAGTCGGTGAAACTCCGACGAAACAGTTTGTCACAGCCCCTCGTTTGTTGTCCTCTTCTCTCTCTCTGCCAACGGTTTACCGGGCAGTTCTGTTTGTGA